CCCATGTCCATTTAACCCATTAAACACTCAAAATCACACCAACATGAGTTTACGGTCGTAAACTCATGTGTGGGTGTGTTATATGGCTGTAAACTCTTTTAAATGTTTACTCTTGGGGAGTAAACTCAAGTCCCAAGTCCCTAGTGCCATTACACGTCCGAAGATGTCACCCGGGTCACTCCAAATGCTCGTTTTGAGGTGTTTAACCTCGTTGGAGTGTAATGTTCCATATGATTACTGAATGTATCCCTAATTGAATATATATGGACATTATTTCATTTTACATAGGTACATCGTGAGTAATCATACTCCTAACCAACGTATAGTATCCAAAACCGACGCATTTCCGAGTCCGGTGAGTTCAGGGGGGGGGGGGGGAACACAAGCAAAGTACAAGGGAACTCTTGTACTCAAAACGTGTTTTCAAATGTGTGTTTCATATTCCATATGCTTTTAATACTGATTACTCCAAATGATAACCATTTGAACATGCAAATCACGTAACATATATTTGTGAAATGAGTCTTTAAACTGTTATGTTTTACATACATTTCACAAATGGCTTTCCACAATTTATCAGTTAAAAGCATGACATTAGACATTTGAATATAATACATGTACACTGTTTTGTTCTCGGTAACACTCCACACATATACGCGAGTGGAGGACTAACATATTATTACTAGTAAATTTGTTAATCCTATATGATTGGAGACACGTCCTCGGCGAACACTCCATAGAGATACGCGAGTGGAGGACTACACCCGTAACCAGAATCTCTGGTATTTAGAGAGCGTGACTTGAGTGTATAGATCTATACGGGGCTGACTAGCCCACACCTGGCTGCTAGCTACAGCCGAACTGAAATGGTTCAAGGGTGACGAAAGTCATAAGTATGTGGACTACTTATTGCCACATGTGGACTACTTATTGCCACAGGTTTAGTCTATCGTATGGTTATGGAACTCGCAATTAGGATAACAGAGATTTACTTATAGTAATAATGAACCACCGTATACATCTTCTACATCTTTTACATCTTTTACATCTTTCACGTACGGTAATTAACATTCAGGAAAGTATGGGACTTTCCTGGGGGAAAACATGGAATCTAACCATGTTTACATCTTTTACATCTTTTACATCGTTCACATTGAAAACCAACAAGCAGGAAAGCATGGGGCTTTCCTGGGTAACACTTACATAACTAGAAAGAGTAACAAACTGGATAACATTACATCTTTTACAATTGGTAATATACAATAAGTAAAGTATGGGACTTTCCTGGGAATACATGATAAGTAAACAGAACAGTTTAACAAGTCGGATAACCAGATTATACATTTTCACATGAGCAGACATGTTTTCAGTGTACAAACTTACTATACTTTACATTTGTGAAATAACAACCAACTTTTAAGAAAATACGGGATTTTCTTGGTATACATAACATTTTAGAAACAGAAAAGAAACTTGAAACATTTTCAAAAACAAAAACCGCTTATGAACTCACCAGCTTTATGGTGATTTTTAAACTGCTTGTGTTCTCAGGTCAGCGTTACAACAGGTATCCGAAGATCCCTTTTTTATCAGAAGACGGAGTACATGAAGACCCGTTTTATTTTGTTAATATATACTATGTATCACAACTGTACAAAATTTACTTTTGAAACAACTGTAAAACTTTTCTTATGTAATGTAATGGTTGTTTTACTTTACTTACTATGTGCATTGGATTTGATACTCAACGTGGAGTCAACCCCGGAAATGTTTCCGCCTTCGGTTTTCGGGGTGTGACATTATGATACTATACAATGTCATCATCCGCCCTCAGACATTTCCGTCATTCTGGTCTGGGGTGTGATAGATTGGTATCAGAGAATTGTTTATAGTGAACTAGTGTATCAAACCATACAAGATATACAACTATAAATGCAATAGGGCTAAAACCCTTTGACTAAAAGTGTACTTTTAAAATAACAAGTTTAGAAAAGTATACATATATGCATTCATATTAGGAATAGTGATATAATAAGAAACAAATAAAATTCTTTAGAAGAGGTGGATATCGCAGTTAAGCCTAGACAGTTATACAACCATATCTTGGGTAAATATAGCCAGATCATCTGTATTTATTCGAGATATGACCAACATTTGTTTAGTAATGGTCGTGATGGACAACAAATCTAAAACTTACCACCCATATATATATATATATATATATATATATATATATATATATATATATATATATATATAGACACACATACACACACACACACCCAAAAGGCTCTAGGACCAAATATAAAGAATTAAAATACTATAGGACTATTTTAACATATTATAAACCTTTCATGTATTTTCTCGTACTTATATTCTTGTATAGACACGATGGCAAACATGATGGCATGATTACACATTCCAGGAGATCCCTATTCCCTTAACCAGGGAATGGAGGTTGGATTTAGACGATTTTGGGGAGATCTTGGAGGAAGAGCCCGCTGAAGAAGAGTTTGAGGAAGAGCCAGTGGAAGAAGAGGATGAAGATGAGCCAGAATAAGAGTCAGATGCGAAGTTGGAGGTTATCAGCTATCCTTATGTTACGAGGGTTCCCGCTAACCGACCTGGCTTTTAGTGACCTACGCCCAGCTGAGTGGAAGATCTAGAGAGGTGGAGGCGATACCAGCACCAATTCCTTCCATTCAATATGGAAGGAGGTTTCTATAATCTCAGCCACGGGGGACCGGCTGACAGAGCCCTCTGAGTCATGATTCAGTGATGGCTGTCGTACCGGTAGCTATGGCACAAATTAACGCAAGTGGTTCTGGTGGTGCGAGTTGTAGTATTTCGGGTGTGAGATTTACTTGTCATCAGTATCAGGTGAGTCTCCTCAGTTATCCTTACATGTGTGGTAGAATAGTTGTGTTTTTTTATTACCAGTTGGGTCTACTATTGTTTTGTGCTATGCTATTATGTGAGACTGAGACTAAGGACAGTCTCTAGAGTCGCTAATAACTCAGAGGGAGTGTTATTGCCCACTGGAACTGATGATAGTCCCCAAGGTTGCTAATACCTCATAGTTGTTTATTTATGTGGGTGTGTGATATCTTGGAGAACTCAGTCAACTTTATGGTTACAGTTGTTGATTTATGTGTTTCAGGTACTTCTAGGAACTGCGGGAAAGTGAAGGTGTGATTGTGCAGACTCGCTGGGAGGATCGACACAGGACCATGATAGTTTGAGAAACTCTAATATTTTATGATAATGGTTGTTTTGGATAACTATGTGCTTGATAACTTTTTTTGTGAAACTTGTTTTTGGTAATATGAAAATGAAAAATAAAATTGATGACATAAACATTATTCTTAAAATTAATGGTAATCAAATGCAATAAAATATAATTAGATAAATATCCAAATATTTCAATGTACATTGTTGTTAAATTATAGAAGAAATTGCTAACTGATAGCAACATACTTTTCTTTTAGTCTTTCTGTTTATTTAATTTATTTACTATGCATAAGAAACTAAAACAATCTAGTTACCTAAAATAACCCTACCCTAAGAAGTCCTATTTATTTTTCTGAATCACCCATAATTACCATGTTTATGAGATAGCAGACAAAATGCATTGCTTTTTTTTTTCTTTGCATATAATGTGAGTATAAGTAATTGTGTTGAATAGTATTGTACTAATGTAAGATGGTAACAATGGCCATTTTACCCCTAAATACCAGTTGTTTTGTTTCCCTTTTGTTGTTTATTAAGGAATGTTGAATGTTAGCTGTGGAGTATATAGTATCAGACAAGGAGTCCAGGGTTTCGTGGCGTTATTGATGGAGCAATTCCATGTAAGAGATGCTTGACACAGTTATCACATTACCCATAGTTAATTTTGGTAAGTTCATTAAATCCAACATTGGTTTTAAAACCTAAACCAATTTTACAAATATATTTTGATAAATACTCTATACTATGTCATTCTGGCAATTAATGATCGACCATCAATGGATATTTACCCACAAAATTGATACTCGAGAATCAATCGCCCATTGGAAGTTTGTGCATGTGTTATGTTTCTTGCATGCTTGTCAAAATTCATTCAACTGCCGCTGACATGTTCTAAAACTCATATTGCATTGAAACAAAAAAGGAATCCAAATATACTTTAAATGCAAAGTCGCAATGAATATAGCACAATGTGTAAATATCAAAAGACCGGGTGTGAGTAATCAAATAATCATCCAAATGAACTTGCCGACATACCTTTCATCAAATTGAATCTTTTTCGTTGAGCTTTCTTAGACATTGAGAGTTTAACTCGAGGGGGTGCAAAACGATAAATATATCTACAATTTTACCTTATTTACATTATTAAGATCAGTTTCTTCATGAAATTTGTTTTTTAAATAAATATAATTGTCAGTATACAAGATTATTATGATTTCATTTAAAACAATCATAATTTTAACTTTTCATGAAACCATTAATTTTGTAGCCAAGCATTATAATAAGTTTGTGCTAATGACACCTTTTGGTGTTGAAAGGCTAAACAATGAATAAGGTATACTCAACTTCGAATAATCACAATGTCAAATGATATACGATATTCTCATTTAAACAATAAAACAAAATGTATCAATTTTTTATTTTTTTTTAAATATAAAAATAAAGATAGTGTGGCCATTTACAAATAAGAGCTGTTAAAAAATAGTTATGTATATGAAGGAGTATTATGGCCATTTACAAATATTTAAGTCTTAAGATGTGTGGAAAAAAACTACAAATAAAAAAATCCGGTACCACTTTATTCATCAAGCAACAAAAGTATCATTTTTCTTAATGGTTGGGCTGTATGTGATAATATGTACAATTTTAGGGGAGGTTGATGCAAATCACCATCGCTAGAGATCAGGATTAGGGTTGACGCCCACACTTTTGTTACTATATATAATAGATGTTCAGGATCCACAGCCGCTGTCATAATCAACTGAATCTAGATCCAGGATACACACATCAAAATATTCAACTACTGGCTTAGGAGGATAATGCATATCTGAAAATCATGCATTGTTTTGATAAAGTTATCGATCTGCGTCTTTTTGGATCAAGCAAATCACCAAGACTTTTATGTGTCGACTTCAAAAAAACGTTCTCTATCGTGCACACAGATCCGAAAGCTAGCAAGGATCCGCAATATTTTGTAAGAAAAAACATGTAAGTTAACTGATACGTGAATTTATACCATTCTGAATCATGTGTTTTGAAGCTGTTTTGTCCTTTTTTTGTTGTTTCGAAGTTTATATATGCTGTTCGACTGTCACTCACACTTTCTTGATCTGTTGTCAGTCTAGTTGAATCAGATCGGTACCAGTTAGGTGTTCATAGCATTTCAAGAGTCGGTTTTGTGGGTTTGTCCAGGCCACTGTACCTTACCCTTTCCGATGTCAAGTGGATTGTGTTCCTTCAGAAATCTGTTTCTGATGACAACAAAATGTTGCTTTCACAAGCTGTTGATATCTTCCATGTGAGTATAAACTATAAACTATAAAGTAGTGTTTTTATTATTATTCTAGACTGCTGCTACAGATTAATCAATTAATAACCATTTATTTTATTTATGTGGGTTTTCATTGATTGTAAAAGAACTTCTTCAAACATATTGATTGTCAACTTTTCTTCAACTGTTTCGAGAAGCTTCTTCCATATTGAAGGTTAAGAAGATGTTCGTTCCTGTTGCTGAGGATGTTAAATCCATGTAGATTCTGAAATTTGGTTTTGATAAAGTTACCCTCAACTTGGGTATTACACTACTAGAAAAATGTTAATAGAGTACCATTGAAATTATGAATATAGTACGTACATTGAGGGCCTCTTAGTAGAGGGTGTATTAGATTACACGCATAAGAGAGTACGGCTATTTAACCGTACTATATGTATCCTATACCATCGCATACAATCATTTCATACAACCATCTAATACACCATATATACATGTCTAATACACCAATAAACAACCGTAGTTGATGTATCACATATCATCTAATACGCCATATATACACATCTAATACACCAATACACAACTGTACTTGATGTCTCACATCCCCATTCTCTTCCACCATTCATGATTGCATTCCAGCCCATTCTGGCTTTGCATTCCAGTCTTATTAATCAACCAATTCCACTCCATGGATGCTGCAGGATCACCATTCCAACTGAAAGAAACTCTTCAATTTCTGCAAAGCTTTCACCATGAGAATTGTAATTGAAGGATCAATCTCTACAAAATACAAACCTACTATATGATTCCATTCGAACCATATGAAGTGGGACATCACTGATCATGTTTTAATTTTACGAACCATATATATATATATATATATATATATATATATATATATATATATATATATATATATATATATAATGAACCACTTAGTTCATTAAACATAAAAACATTCTTAAATTTGTTAATGTTGCACCTTTGACCTCTCTTTCCCCTTTGTGGTTGATTCATTGTATGCCTATAAAACAAGAAAACTTAGGATTTAAAATCTCAAATAATTTTTAATGAAGAAAACTCAAAATAAAGGCATAATCTCAAATCTATGCTTGTTATCTGGAAAATGAAGATCTAAATCGATAAAGTATCCATATCTCCACATAGCATATTAAATCATGATTTATATATTAATTAGAAAAGAAACATTCATATATTTGAATCTATTAACTTTGGTTCAAGTTAAATCCATTTTAAAAAAGAAACGAAATTTCTATCCACCTTGAGGACAATGTTTTAGATAACAATAATGTGGGAAATCAGCAAAATAAAAGAGCATCTTCTTAGTGCAGTGCAGGGGTAATTTAGATATTTTATCTTGTTTTAGTTTGTTACATGCAATACTTATGGGAGGTACATTTTGACTATTAATTGGTACATTGAAATTTAATTGATTTGTTCCCGTTTTTCTGATTTCAACTTATTAGTCAGTTTATAGCATAGAATGTTAATATGATTTACTAGAGGAAAGTAACAAATGCAAAGGGGAGAGAAGTTGTCTAATTGAAGGAGTAATTGTGCTAGCTAAACTTGGAAAACCAAGTTCTTATATCAAAGATGTCCTCGAGGAATCTGTGAAGACATAATTAAACTTGACTAGCTAGCATTTCCCAATCCTTCCTTCTGAAATATGGTAACTGAAGACTCAGAAACGGTGAATAACTATAGTTGTTTCTAAAGAATAGATAACACATATAACCATAGAATGAGGAGAATCTAAGAAATAAGCCATGGAATGTAACAAATCCAAATCTCATCCACAAACATACAGTAAGAAATAGGCATGGCTATTCATCCTAAATTGTATAATGATATGGGTTTGCCTAAATACAAGGTAGATGCATTATCTTGAGATCCAGTGAAAGCCAACAAGATTTTGGCTGGTATTATCTTTATTGAGAATAATGGAAATTCAAAAAATATATATTACCTAATGACGTTTAATAAGTCATAATACTTGATCCCTACTTATACAGTTGCTTAATTATTAAAGTATGATTGTGACCTATTATAATTATACAAATACAATAATTAGCTTATTTGATTACGGAAAATTAGCTTATTTGATTAGTTGATAACCAGCTGTAAAAACAATCAGTGTTATCTAGTGACATCAAGATTGAGCATATATACTTTTACATAGTATAACCATTATTGATTCCTAGCCAACTAGCAGCATTGCACTAGTACTACCAAAATCTATAAAATCTCTGCAAACATAAATTATATTGAGCTTAAATAGAGTCGATGATGTTTACATAATATATGAACAAATGGTGGATGTTAATTCCACTCCAAAGATGTACAAAATAGTGTCGATGATGCTTTCTAGGGTTATCAACAAGTAGTATGAAGTAATATGTCATATAAAGAAGACATTGTCATAAACACAACATTAATCAACGAGTCAATCAACTACACCCAAAGGCTAATCGTGCTTTAAACAACGTGAAAAAAGTAGGAGGCGAAAGCAGGAGTAGGCCGGAGTAGGAGACTTCGTCTGTGTCATCGACCGGAGATCGGAGGCGGAGGCGGAGGCGTCGGCCAGAGGTGAAGGCTTCATCGTTCTCATGATAAGCGAACTTTGACGGATGAAAAATTGCAATATTGACATTTGATCAATTTTTTTTAAGTTGGAAAAGTTTGACCGATGACGAATTGAAAATGTGCCCTTCAACTTTCTCAAAGCTCGTATAGGCTAGACCGATGGGCCCCTTCGATATAAGTTAAATATATGATGAAGTAGGCATGCACAAACCCTTATGGGTAATACACATATACACGTCCATATATATGCAAAAAGGTAAAAAAAAATTAAATTTTTTTTTTCATTTTCAAAAAAGTTGTTCAACTTGAAATCAACGTATTTTTTGGAGCAATTTGTAACCTTTTTTTTCATATTTTTTTTTTGTTTTTAATATTGGAAATACATAATACAACTTCAAATATAAAAACAAAACCAATTCTATAAACCGGTTCGTATTAAACCGGTCCCAACATTTGGCAAGTGGAATTGGTTTAAACCGGTGGTTCGGTTCATAGGTGAACCGGTTCGGGGATAAACCGGTCTTCGGTTCGGTTTGTGAACCGGTTTTTTTGCCCATTCCTAATGAAGTATAATTTTTAGCAACATGTCCGCATTTAAACTTTTACGTTTGTGCTTTTTTTAATTCATTTTCTTGTGTGGTGAAGTATAATTCTTTAAAGATTAAAATTTATTATATTTTAGCATAAATGTTTTTTATGTCAAGATTGGTTTTTTTAATGGATGGAACGGAAAAGGTAATTGAATGAGTTGTTCTATTTCATTCCTTCCATCATTACCACAGACCGGGTATTATAGTTTTTATTGGGTAAAATGAAAGAAAACCTTATAACTTGTGACTTTATGTCCAGATGCTAATAACAAATCATGGAAAGTTTTATCATTTGGCTATTATAGTTTTTATTGGGTTAAAACATATGTTAATTGTCATGGAAAATGTATAATAAAAAAATGTCACATAATTCACATTAATTTTGATTCAAAACACAACATGCAAAACTTGTAATAAATGTTGATCTGTATACAAATTCTAACATCAGTAGTAACCAAAATGACCAAAAGTAAAATGACTATATCCAAACAACATTTATTTGTACGAAATACCTGGTATGTAACAACATATTTACCCCTAATTAGCTAACAAATGGTGATCCTAAACCACTATGTGATTTAAAATTCTATCAACAATTACTATAAGAATTTTTTGAGACTATTGATCTGGAATCCTTAGAGAAAGATATACCAAAATGACCACATTGTCCTTTTTAGTTCTCTAATCCTTCTTTGATGTACCTGAAAGAAAGTGAGCAAACCAAATCATGAATGAAAGAGCGTTTTGGTCATTTGATCAACACTCAACTCATGACATTTTTTAAATATGTCAATGGGGGCAAGAATTAAAAAAAAGTTATATTGTGTCATTTTTTAAATATGTCAATGGGGCAAGAAATGCTACATAATTACAAAAACGCATGATACTTCCTTCTATATTGCTTCAATTGCAACTATCATTGTTTTTTTCCTTTAGTGTCGTGTCCGTCTATGTTGTTGCAAACAAAAATGTATTAAATACATACATAATACTATCCTCATATGTTTCAAATTTGCATTCAAATTATATTTTTTTATTTTTAGATAATAAAAATGTATTAAAGGTATACTTTATCATTTTGTCACATCACTATTATATTGTGTTTGTTTCTTCCGCAAATAACACGATCTTCCACATGTAATACATTCATGTAGATTTGCATGCTCATTTCTATACAACATACAATCATTTGCACATGCATTAATTCTTTCGATTTCCAGAATAGAAAACTGGAAGTTTGTTACCAAAGTTGGTTACTTTTCTGTATCTGCAATTTGCCCATTTTTGAGGATGAAACTAATCGGTTGACCTAAATGATTATATGACTAGCTATATTTCAGAGTGGGTGATATCATTTCTAGGTATCATAAAAGTAGCCTTAGTGCAGAAGAGATAACCAACCAAGAAGGTGCTTCCCAAGATATGGTAAGTAATTTGTATTCTATAATTTTTTTCTCAATCTTGATGTCACTAGATAACACTGATTGTTACGGAGTTAACAAGACGTGCACAAGATTCAAAACATGCAATCAACTTCTAGAGTCGGTAAGCAGGTATACATATTTTGTGCTCAATCTTGATGTTAGTAGATAACACTAATTGTTTTTATAGTTGATTATCCACTAATCAAATAAGCTAATTTTCCATAATCAAATAAGCTAATTATCGTATTTCTGTAATTATAATAGGTCACAATCATACTTTAATAATTAAGCAATTGTATAAGTAGTGATCAAGTATTATGATTGATTAAATGTCATTAGGTAGTATATATTTTTTTCAATAAAGATAATACCAGCCGAAATCTTGTTGGCTTTCACTAGATCTCAAGATAATGCATCTACCTTGTATTTCCTTTTCTGGAATAGATCCTAGAGGCAAACCATATATCATTATACATTTTAGGATTAATAGCCATGCCTATTTCTTATTACATTCCATGGCCTATTTCAAAAAACTTTATTATGGATCTTAATCTAATATTTTGACAGGCTTGATGAAAAAGGGAATGTGGTCTATGTGAGTAGAAGTTGAGATATTCAAATTGATTGGTATGAACTTAGTACTCAAGGACTGTCAAGGAATGTTAAGTAGTTTTTAACAAGAGGGTGTTTGAATTTTAACATTCTAA